CGAAATCCTCAGCATCGTGAGAACATAATTCCTAGCTATTTATCTCCTTTCCACCGTCTCTGAACATTCCATCTCTCGTAGCAGTGCTTCTGTGCTTATGTCTTAGTAGAACATGTTATGATTATCAAATCAACTTGTTGTACCTGATATGTTCCTGTGTTGCTGAGCGACGCTTGATGCTGTGTTCGATGTGTCCTAAACCGTTTGATGCTGACTGATGTGTTGTGTTATGACGTCATGGATATGTTTCTCTCTAAAAAGTCATAAGATAATTGTTCGACCGAAGACTTTCATCCTTCGAAATCATCTTACAATTATATTCTCTTTCGATTTATCTTTTTCTTTTTGAATCGTTATAAGTTACTCTGTCGACTTTCGAACTGTTCTAAAAAGCTCAATACTGCACAACAACTCTCTTCAACTATAAGGCCGAATCTAAATCAAACTTACATCTCTTATTGAGAAGGAAGGAGGTATAAAACATTTCTAACTTCGATCTTATAGTTATGAATTGGTTATTCGATTTCATCTTATCTAACTCTTTGAATCATCTCATTTAATTGTAGACTCCTTTTCTCAATTATATTGTTTGATTTAAAATTCTCGTTATAAAGTTGAATCCTACAAGTGCAGTTATTGTTAAAGGTACTAAACCTTTTTTCTCTTTATTTCATTTCTTCTCACTTTTTGTTCGATTACTCATAATTGTTATTATTGTTAAAGAAATTAAAACATATACATTTGTCCAAAATAAAGAGAGGATCCTACCATTCACTACATGGTAGCGAGAGGCTCCTCTTGGCAAATTATATTGTTATTTCTTTTACATTCGTAGATTTTTAGAACACTCGATCGTTATGGCAGACCCAACTTTCTCGACCAAAGGTACCGATAAGGGAGATAAAGACAATGAATCTTCTTCGGACTCCGATGATCACACCTCCACTAAGGTTAAGATCGTCAAGCTCACTCGAAAAAACTGGCACGAATGGCAGATTTGTTTCGACAATATTCTTGTTAGTAAAGGATACGATGATCTTCTAGATCAGAAATGGGTAAAAGCCAATGCCGATAAACCTGCTTTCAAGCGTAAGAACGCCTGGGCGATAAACAAACTCTTCGAAACTGTGTCAACAGAACTTCGAGCCATTCTCTTGAAGAACAGCAAAAGTTTCTTCAACGCATACACCGCACTCTCCAAATCTTGTGGTGTGTCCTCGATTCTGATGATCGGCATGAAAGTGCAGCATTGGATGTCTATTCGATATATCCCAGGTTCATCTATTCAGGAACACTGTGATCAGTTCTCCGGAACTTACACCTCCATCTCTGCCTCTCTCGCAGCAACTACTCCTTCAGTTTTAACTATTTCAACTGAATTAGCAGCAATCTTTTTCCTCTTAAGTTTCAACGACGATGAAGGCTTGACGCCATTAATTCAAAATTGTTGGGATTTAAAACCGTTCGATTTCGAAACTTGTTATGACAAAATGATAATGGAACATAACCGTCGCGATTCTCAAGACCAAGATGTTCTGAATTTCTCAAACATCAAAGGAAAAAGGATCGACAAACCCAATTCCTCTGCTTCTCAAACCAAATCCCCGTCTTTCAATCCTAAGAGTATCATAACAACTAAGAAACCCTTTGTGAAGAATTTCGAATCAATTGATGAAAAAGTTGCGAGACTCGTAGCTCAACATCTCGCCAAACAAAAATCCTCCGAGGCAAATCACATTCAAGAAGACCTCAGTTCAGACGATGAACAAGTAGATCATGTAAATGATTCTGTTGAAGATAATATCGAAGACACCGGATTTATGCTCACCGACTCTATCAATTATCTTGGAAATGAAAAATTTCAGCTCGTTTATGATTCTGGAGCAACTAAATCAACCATCAACAACCTTGACTTGTTGATTGATCCCGTCCCCATCAATAAATCTTTGAACACGTACGGCGGATCTGTGGCCATCTCTCATGTTGGTAAACTCAACTTCGGTGGAACTATCATCCATCCGGTCTACTACTCCGAAAACGGTCCTCGAAATCTGATTTCGACTACTCAATTAGAAGACCATGGAATGAACATCATCCATTCTCACCGAAAGGTTCAAGTACGTCTTGGCGACAAAATCATATTCCGATTCTTTCGCGAAGGCGATCTTTACGTCTCTAAAGTTGCGTCCTCTGTCAATCTCGCTCAAGAAGTGAACCTGACAGAACCAACGGATTGGCATATCACTCTTGGCCATCCGTCGGATGTGTATCTAAGAAAATTTCTCACTCTAAATGATATCAAATCATCTGCAGTTGAAGACAGCTCCGGTTGTCTCATCTGTCTTCGCTGCAAGTTAAAAAACTCACCTCACTCAAATCCAATCCCTAGTGCAACTAGGCCTTTTGAAAAAATTCACTCCGACATTCTTCAAATAACTCCTGTGACCGGTCAAGGTATCAAATATGTATTAGTTCTGATTGATGATTTCTCACGATTCAACAGAATATACTTATTGAAAAAGAAATCTGAAGCTGCAAATCGTATATTACATTACATTGCCGAAATCAAATCCAAGACTGGCTCTAATCCCTCGTATTTTCACTCTGATCGAGGAGGAGAATTTACTTCAACTTTCCTCGTTAGCGAATTCGCAAAACTCGGAATTTCTATAGAGCAAGGTCCTGCTGATTCGCCCGAAACA